CTACAGAGGCTTGTCTTTGTCTATTTGAGAAAGATGTGATACAGATCCTGTGTCTACCTGCTCTGACAATATTCAAAGAGGATTCCTAGTTACGCCCTTCCTTCAAACATCATGAGGCCAGACTGCAAGCCTTGGCACCAGTTTTTCAGAGCTACATGTACCTCTAGACAGCTCATGTGTGGAAATGTTCAAAGTCCTCTCCAATGCAAAACGATGGTGTCCATACCTGGCTAGAGCAAGAGCCTACTTCAATTTTCCTGGAATTACTCCACTCCGGAGTTACCTACTGCTGCTAAGGGCAAAATTGCTTCTGACTCGGTTAAGTCTCTTGGCAAGAACCCCATCCTCAACAGAGACAAGTCCAACCTGGAGCTTACCTTAACCAGCCTCTTATCACAGTCTTCTATGTACTGCCTTCCTCTTAATGTTATTAGAGTACCTTTCCTATATGAGTGTGATGAAAATTCTCCAGTCTCTCCAGACCTCACTGCAGATGCTCTCAGCTCTGGATAAGAATGTCAACTCCATCTTCAAGCAAATCTCATGGACTTCTTGCCTTGCTACATCTTCTTGCAGAACTAATTTTCTTGAGGTGATGAACATCCTTTTATGATGGCATGAAAGCTAAACTTCAAAGCCACCCTTATATGGGAAAGACTTACTCACAGGTCAGTTTATAGAGATGATGGAATTAAAGGCCATGCTCATAGAAACAACTGAAAAACTCAGCTTCCGTGAACCTCCTCTGCCTCCTTGCCATCAGCCGGCTCCCAGTTGCCGAGCTTGCCAGTCAAGACCACTCCCTCTTCAGTGCCACAGGACCGCAACTCCTCTTGCTCTTTTCGAACTCCCTGTATAAGTCAAGTTCTGTACTGCCCTCCCCTTCTCAGCCCATGCAAACAACACAGAAAGGATGCATACTCAGAGGATACACTCAGCGCTACCCCCCGTCCTCTTGGGGGTGGGCGCCGATGACTAATCAACTTGTCTGCGACCTCTATTCCCAAACATGTTGGGAGCCAACTTCAGTTTTATGCAGGAAGTTCCAAAAATAGACTCTACGAATGGTGACCCAATCCCTGCTGATTCCAGCCTGGGCTTCCTCAGTGGATCTGAAAGATGCCTATCTTCACATCCCAATCCAACCATAAGACTATAAGATCCTTGGATTCATCTACAACGGAAGAACCTTTGAATTCTCAGCCCTGCCATTCAGCCTGTTGACGTCCCCTAGGGTATTTACCCAAGTGGCAAAAATTGCTGTCGCCTACCTTCGTTGGTTAGACGTCCTAATATTCCAATACCTTGACAACTTGCTTATTATAGGCAGATCTCCAGATGAGACTGCAACTTCCATTTCCTTACAAGTTTATCAGCTGTCTGGGGAAAAATCGAGACCCATCCCTATCCAACTTACCTAGGTAAGGTTCTCACCAGGGTTCCATTACACCAGCATTAAATGCATTGATAATCTCCTGGATTGTGTTAGCCTCTTCATACCCTGCCAAATGGCCCCAGCCCAGGCATGCTTATTGCTCCTAGGCCTGATGGTGAAGGTAGTACCTCTTTGACATACTCCCAAACCAAATGCCATCTGATCAACCTTCTGGTTCCCATATCCACCCACACCTTTGCTGGTGGCTGATACAGAATCATCTTGACTGCGGTCTCTCCTTCCCAAAGATGGATCCCCAGGTGATGATAACTACCAATGTGTCCTAACTCAGATGGGGTGCTTCCCTTCCCTCCTTCAAGGTCTCAGGTACATGGGAGCCTCAGTTCCTGGGAAGTCACATCAACAACTGGGAATTCAAGGCAGTCTTTAACGCATGATGTCACTTTGTACAATCGTGAAACACAAACGTGTCCTGATCTAACTGGACAACTCAACGGTTATCGCATATATTACCCACCAAGGAGGCACGCACTCACCACGCCACTTCCTCCTGACAGGACAAATGTTCCTGTGGACACTGGACTTTGGGATTGACCTGCGAGCAACCCATATCCTGGGAACCAGCAACTCCATTGAGAACGCTCTCGAGAAAAGATCCACCCAACAGAATGGACTGTGCTCTGCAATATGGTTGAGTCAGTCTTCAAGGCTTTCGACAAACCACATATCAACCTCTTGCTTCACCAGAAAATGCTCAGCAGTGTTCTGCTCTGGGTTCCCTCGACCACAAGCCTGGGTGACAGATGCCCTCCATACCAGCTGGTCCAATATCCCTGATCCCAGCAGTGTTATCTAAGATCGAATGAGAGTATCGCCATGTTCTTCTCATTGCTCCTTTGTGGCCTCGGCAACCCTGGTTCCTCTCTCTGACCAGGCTGTTAGTGCAAGTCCTTCTCATCCTTCCACTCAGACTGGACTTTCTCAGTCAACCGAAGTCCAACATGCTTTACTCACAGCCAGCAGATCTGCACTTGATCTGCTGGCCATTGTTCAACAATCATCCAAGCAGCAGTCCTTTTTAACAACGCTGCCAAAATGGCCGCAAGAGGTTGATGCCAATCAACTGGTAAATTTTATAACAGCAGAATACAACTACTTACTTCATGGTGTGAAAGACAGGGTGTGACTCTAACTGAGGTATCTATAACTGCAGTAGCCAACTTTTTCTTGTGTAGGTGGCATCTATACGCAACTACCATTCTGCCATCACGACTATTCATAGTGGCTTCACATTGATGGCTCTGTCGGATAATAACCCCCTTAAACACCTCCTTTGTGGTATGTTCATCAAACATCCCCCCTTAAGACAGCTCATTCCCTCCTGGGACCTCTCCCTTGTCCTTCAGCTCCTTGCAGGCCATCTCTTTGAGCTACTCAGAAGGACCTCTCTTCTACACACCTCAGAGAATCTGGTTTTCTTGCTCGCCGTAACCACTCCACATTGAGGCTGTGAGCCATGGATGTTATATATTACAGACGGCTCGATGGGAGCCTAATGGCATGTGCTCCATCCCAGCCGCGGGCTTCCTCACCAAGAAATCAGAATTGGAATCGTTCCACCCTACAGACATCTTTGTTCCCGACTTCACAAAACACTCCGACTCTCCTGAGGACCAGCCATGGTGTCCTGTTTGAACTCTCAAATGGTACTTGGCCAGGACTTGAACGCAGAGAGGTATAACATCTCAGCTTGTCATTACCTCAATAAAGCCTCATCAACCAGCAAGCACAGACACTCTAGATAGAAGGGCTGTCTCGGCCATCAAATTCACCAATCTTGAATGGCTGAACTCTGCAGATGATAAAACCTTCTGCTTCATCAGAGCTCATAACATCAGGGCGGTATCTACCTCATGGGCATGTTTCTGAAATGTTCCGATAGAAAACATATGCAAGGCGGCAATGCTGGAAGAAACCCTCAACATTCACCTCATTCTACCTGAATCATGTCTTGCAAATAGACTGCTCAGGGCAAAACAACCCTGTCCTCCTCTGCACCGGGACCTTGACTTCCCTCACCAGGGCAGGCCTCATCCAGATCTACCTGATGGCTGCCTCCTCTTTTTGGTGGGTCTTAATCACCCCCCTTTTTCCTTTTTCTTTAAAACATTAATCACATTTTCCTTACATTTGATGTGTCTTCACCAACCCTCCTCTATAGTAAGGTGCTGCTCTGATAAAGTAGGAACTGTCAGGGTAGGATAAGTGCAGTGGACTCCTACCCCACAGTACTGTGGGAGAGTCTGCTAGGGAGTACCTACCCAAACAGTCAGCAAACACTCTAGCTCAGACCTTGCACTCCAAAAAAGATTGATGAACATGGCATTGATGCTGTGTTGCATCCTAGCACTAGTGGGTGCACTACAGTTGTTCAAGTTTTTTGTGAATGGCAAAAGACGTGAAAGGAAATTTGCTGAGGTAGCAATTGTTTGGGTAGGTATCCCCCAGCAGACTAATCCACTCTACTGCTTGGGAGGATTCTGATGACAAACGTCCATTGTGAATTCTAATGTCAGATTTACTGCATTTTTATTTTGTTGTAAAGTAGCCATCTTGGCATAAGGAGAATTTGGACTTATGATACTACATGCCATCTACCCCAATGTCCCCCCACCCTACCCTTACCCCCCGAAAAAATAAAATATTTGTACAGATTTTGTAGGATGCAGCGTGTCTTCAATTATTTTGTATACATTTGAATATGGAATATAATAAAAATCACCAAATTATTTCACTTTTATTATTTGATCTGTTTACACTGAAGCCCTTTGTGTCTTGACCCCCTCTCTGTAATACTCCATGAATTGCATATGAAGTTATATTAACCCAAGAAGTTTTAGGCCTACTGAGCCTGCACTGTTACAATCAGTTCCTACACCCATCACTGCCTATTAATTAGCCTATGCCTGAATATTTGATCATAAAACCCCTACGGACAAAGGCCAATCCAAACATACTGTTATACAATGAGCAAAAAAGAATAAAATACACTGTAGTGATGAAAAGTAAAATCTCCCACAACAATAATGTGTCAAAAAACCATGGCAATTTCCCGCCGGTAAAAAATTGTACCAAACCAGAACTGAATTTTTGGTTGTTCAATCTGTAGTGATTGTTTTGTCAATTTTTTTCTTCCTGGCTTAGAACATGATTACAAACACCACCCCAGGAAGCACCCACAATAAAAAAATTTGTTTCTGATGAGGAAAAATTGGGTCAAATACGAATTGAAATCCACAAAGTTTGGTATCATTCAGCTTGGAAAATTGTGTTCTACATACTCGGCATGCCATCTTGTCTGTCCACTGAATAAATTTTGCAATATGTGGTTCAGGAGAAGCTTCTTCAAAATCAATTTATCTCAGAATTCTAGTAGCCGAAACACACACCTTGCTTGCACATAAATTTTTGGATTTACCTGTGTAAGGTATGGGCTGCAGACTGACTGAAGATAGCTTCTGCTGCATGCTACTATGTGTTCCAATCGTTTTTATTTTCTTAGTTTTTAAGTTTAACGCTTCGCAACTTTATGAACTGTATGTAGGGTGCTTTGCTGCAAAAGGATCTCCACACAGACCTTGCTACAACTCAGGTGCTGCACACAGATGTAGGAAAGTTAACAGAGACCTTCAATAGCATGATCAACAATCTTGATACATCTATTAGCACCCTGCAGGTAAAATAGTTCTCTATAATTCATACTTGGCATTTATATGTTTTGTCAAATGTCGTATAGAAGTTCTTTTGGAAATAAATACAGTTAAATATCATAGAGTCCCATGTAGATGTATTAAGAATGCAGACATCAGTTTTTATGTGCCAAGGGCAACATGCTGTAATCCAAAGAAAGTAAAAGAATAAATGCAGACCAACACCACAGCAAACAATCTTATGAAAAAAAAAGACTATTGCAAATTGCAACGTAAATCAAACTTGAGGATGATATAACAAGTGTAAAGGCTGGCTCAAACGTCAGGCAAATGCAAAAGCAAAGCAAATTTGACTTCATGACAAAGTCGCAAGAAATTTTTTGGTCGAATTGAGATGTGTTCAACTTTTGTGAAATTCTCAACGCGAATGTTTGACCTGATGTCACAAATTCGCATTTGTTTTCACATTCGCACAAAGTGTGAACCACCCTTAAAGCATAACAGTGTGCATAAGCTTGAGCTGTTGAAAGCTCTACAGATTAACAATTTTTATTGGAATGGAGTCCATGATGATATCACAAGTGCTGCAGAGTGACCCAGTTTGTGCCACTTTGCATAATTGTTGCTTGCAACTGTGCCCTCTAGATTTTCTTCCATGAAGGAACCTATGATATATGCCACAGCTGTCATTGGAAATGAGGGATCAGGATCTGTACATAAGTAGTGTATAAACGTGTAATAAGTTAAGGAGGTAGAGTGATTTTTTCATTAAAACATCCATCCGGAAAGTGCTAGCGTTGTTTTCAAGATACATTCTGTAGCTTTTCAATAACCCAAGAATTAAGGGCCCTGCTAAAATTTAAAACTTGGAAATCAAGGCATGGTTATAATGCTTATCGCAGAATACAGATAACAGTGTGACTTGATCCCAAAACACTGATTGTTGCAGAAAAAATTAATAATGATAATTTGTAATCTTTTCACTCTGCAGAAAAAGTATGTTACCTTGTTTATTCGGTCTTTCCTCCGCAGCAAAGAAAGCATGATTTGGAGCAGGTTCTTCTTGATAAACATACCCGGATTAAGGATATCACTCCATCATATGATCAACTTGAAATGCAGTTTGAAGAGAGGACAAAAGATTATGAAGATAAGAAAAAAAGCGTTGTTTGTAAGTATTTTTTTTTTTAAATAAATTGACAGATTGTTTAAGGTGCCTTTACAAAAAAGGTTGACATGGTTTGGCCATGGCAGCCACTAAAGTTTGTCTGGCTGGATAAGGATCATAAAAAAATATAACTGAAATTACTCATGCAAAGGCAAGAAGAATGAGACAGGTGTGGTAAGTTCACTGTAATGTTAATACACCATGACCTATGTGTCATATACTATCAAGAACGTGGTGACTGTTGATTGACTGACCCAATTTGAAGGAGGTTGTGGCAATTACTAGCACTTCGGTGTTTGTGGAATTGTAGAAATAACAATGGTG